TCGAAAGGATCGCTACAGGAAACATGACTAACTTTAATTATTTTGACAATATTTTAGTGATCTGTTGCCTTTTGTTGGCAAACTTCTCTGTCAGTCTTTAATCAAACAAAGCTGGTATAAAGAATTGGACGCAAGGATTCTTGGAAAAAGAAGAAACATCTTACATCAAATTATCGAACAAAGATTCGTGGAAAAAAAAACTGTTTCTTCCTGATAACGGGCAAAAGTAGATCTTGCTATTGATATCGATCATAATATATAACTCAAATTTCGCCAGCAAAATCGGCTCGAACTTCTCCAAACGTGGATTGCGTAGCGTACGATAATAGAGCTGCTATTTTAACCAGTATTGTTTAATTCGTAACGGCGACAACTAGGGAAGACCTGAATGAACAAATGTAAACAAAAATTTTGTCAACGTATCGAAAGATACCAAGAATACGCGAAAGACGGCATGTGCTTGTAAGACTTTAGTGACGCGTTTCATGGCATAATCTCTACAGAATTGCATTAATAAAGCTTAGTTTTTCTTTTAAATTATACAAACAGCCTATTTTTGTGACCATATGACGCTAAGTTTTGGTCAATATTTCAGTCATCTGTTGCCTTTTGTTGGCAGTATCTGTCAGTCTTTAATCAGTCAAAGCTGGTATCGAGAATAGGACGCGCTGATCCTTGGAAAAAGGACACGAGGATTTTTGGAAAAATAAGAAACATCTTACAACAAATTATCCAACAAAGATTCCTTCAAAAAAAGGTTTCGGAATTAGCTTAAAACTGTCTAAACACCGTTAAAACCTATTTTTTCTTAATGACGAGCGAGAGTAGATCTTGCTATCGATATAGATCATAATATACACTCGACTTTTGCCAGCAAAATCGGCTCCAACTTCTCCAAACGTGGATCGCATCGTGCACGAAGATAAAGCTGCAATTTTGACCAGTCATGTTTAATTCGTAACGGCGACAACTAGCGAAGACCTGAACAAATGTAAACCGAATTTTGTCG